GGAGAGGAGAGGAGAGGGAGAGGAGGAGAGGAGAGGAGGAGGAGGAGAGAAGAGGAGAGGAGAGGAGAGGAGAGAAGAGAAGGAGAGGGAGAGAAGAGGAGAGGAGAGGAGAGGAAGAGAGGGAGAGAGGAGAGAGAGAGGAAAGGAGAAGGGAGAGGAGAGGAGAGGAGAGGAGAGGAGAGGGAGAGAGGAGAGGAGAGGGAGAGAGAGAGAGGAGAGAGGAGAGGAGAGGAGAGGAGAGGGAGAGGAGAGAGGAGGAGGAGAGAGGAGAAGGAGAGGAGAGGAGAGGAGAGAGGAGGGAGAGGAGAGGGAGGGAGGAGAGAGGAGAGGAGAGGAGAGGAGAGGAGAGGAGAGAGGAGGAGAAGGAGGGAGAGGAGGGAGGAGAGGAGAGGAGAGGAGAGAAGAGAGGAGAGGAGAGGAGAGGAGAGGAGAAGGAGGAGAAGGGAGAGGAGGAGGAGGAGAGAAGAGGAGGGTGGAGAGGAGGAGGAGGAGGAGAGGAGAGGAGAGAGAGAAAAAGAAAGAGAGGGGGGGGGACAAAAAAGGAAAAATAAAATGTAAAATGTGTGTGCTCAGTTGTTTCAAAGAAAAAAGAAAAAAGAAGAAAGGCCTTAAAAATAAGGTTAGATATAAGTGGGGAAAGAAACCAAGGAAGAAAGACCATGTATAAAGAAAATAATTTTTGACCTGTTGTGTCTCTGGATTATTGAGATTAACAGCTGTTGCAGACCCCTGCTGCTTCTGGATGTGTGACAGATGTGTTCGCAAGTTGTCACATAGTTTACGGAACTCTGTCTTGCGACTGTACTTCTCGCAGAACCTGAAAGCCTAAAATTTAAGAAAATTAATAAGAGAAAGTTCTATATCTAATTCTAAAATCAATCAGACTGTAAAGCTATAGGATTTAAATGATTTATTAACACTTAAAAAATATCGCAATTCCATTGAACAACTCTTAACAAATGATTATTGCATTATACTTTTCATGATAAACAGAAAATTAAACAAAAATGTCTACCTGCTTGGCAATGTCATGATAAAGTCGTTCGACACGGGAATTAGTGCGAAGAAGCTCCAAGCACTGGCGATAACTCTCCCACAGGAACTTGACCCATGGAGTAAGGATAGTCCTGTCACTTCGATCCTGTGTGAATATTCATTTTAGTAATAGATTTTATATCAAGTAACAATTCCTTTTACTACATGCAATGTTCCAAATTTATTTATTAGATGACACCAACCAAGAAAGAAGAAAGAAAGAAAAAGACCT